ACGTCGGGAAAAACGATCCAAACCATATAAGTACCCCATCGATTTAAAGTCCAGACTCTGCTCTTTCCAACAATATAAGTGTCACAGCTCTACGTGATAAATTCACGGAACAAGCAGCCACAGAATAGCGAAAAAGGCTAAATTCTGGAACCATAAACACAAACGTCTTTCCTTTGTTTTTATGGCTTTAATCCACTTTGGAGTGATTTTTTTCCACTTGGCTGGACCTGCATGTCTCCTGTGTTAATGTTGGTACATGTAATATGCTAATTATGTATTGTGGAGATCATTAAGATTCGTCAGGTGAAAAAATATTTCACTAACACTGTGTTGACCTTGAACCAGAAGTGTTGGGAGTGGCATCAAATGCTGGACCGGATGTCAGTGGCTTATACTGTAGGCTATTGTTTTGGCAACAGCTTCAGTTCAATTTAGCTCCCTGAAAAATCAATTTTTGCAGCCCTATTGAAAATGTGATTTGGGCTGCAAATAGAGTTGATTGATTAATTGATTGATTGTCCATCAGAACTCTGAGCAAACATCTGTAGGACTTCATATTTTTTTTGTTCTTGTGAGTTTGGACACGTGCGCCTTACGGTTGTGATGGTTCTTGGTGACACTGTCAGAGTCCAGGGCGTGGTAGACGTCATAGACCGAACGACCCAGCAGGTCTTCAGGGGCGTAACCCATCAGTTCTGTCACCCTGAAACACATACAAACCCAATTTGAATAATCTGAATCTTCTGAACTTTAATCTCCTCTTCTCACAAGCAACGTTCAAAAAGGCAAGGCCTACAAGTCCTCCTGTTCTTCACTTCAAAAAGCATCACACATGACTTACAACTCAGAGGTGGACAGGCCTTCAAAAACAAGCACACTTCACATTCTGGGCTTTGATTCTTTTCATTCTTGAGGGAATACTTAGTGTCTTTCAGTTTTCTCTCATCACAGGTTTATCCTATTAACTTTGTTAAAGGCTTTGTGTTGCCATGCTGAAAAATCCACTTTTCTTTTATTTCTCGCCAGCTCTATTTGAATGTGTCAATATGCCAGGGATGGAGAAAAATTACAGGATTACAGTATTACACCAAAAATGGAGGTTTTTATGTCTTTTGGTGTTTTTGACCACGATGAGGTTTTAAAGCAAAATTTACTTTTAGAAATAATGTAATGTCACAATTTAATTTGAGTTATTTATTAACTGTGTAATGTTGCTAAATTTTTAACTTTGATATAAAAAATCCTTCCTAAGGGCCCTGTCACAATAAAAGTTTTTTATGTCTTAATTATTAATAAAAAGGTATATATTTAGTCAACTTGTTACCATTACAGTATATACACACCTAAAAGAGGCTTCTAGTTGATTTTTAAAATTTCGTCTTCAATGTAGATGTCTTTAAAATTGTCATAAGTTGGCATAAGTCGTCCAAAACGTTACAGTGTGACAGGGATTTAAATAATAACATGAGCTAAAGCCTCAACAGGAAATTGATTGATTGATGATGCCTTTATTGTCATTGTAAAGAGCACAACAAAAAATGACCCCTCAGAGCAATGATTAAAGGAACAAAAAAAGAAAAACACATCTATTTTCAACTTAAATATTTCCTCAGATTTAAAATCACTGGAAATAACACAAGTTTTAAAACATTCAAATAAAACTAAAGATTGAAAACTAGAGTGTCCTACAAGCCATATGAGGTAAAACACAAACTGAACCACAATAACCCAGGAAAATAAATCGAGTTTATTCTAACGTGACAAATTTACTTAATTCAAGACAAAATTTGTCAGTCTGGCCCAGTTACAGATTCACTAGTTTTGAAGATATTTAGAGTAGTTATCATTAACAAGACAAAAACAACATTGTGAAACACATTCTCACAATTCTTGGTTTGCTTCAACATAACAAGCACATCTTCTGCAACCATAAAAGGTTGGGTAATCATTTAGTTGCCTGCCTGTCTGCATGTGTGTTTGTATATCTGTTATCAAAATATCTCATGTCCCAGCAGACATATTTTAATAAAACTTTTAGAAAATAATCTGTCACTGCCATTGCATCTACAAGTAATTAACTTCTGGAGTCAAGATGACAGTCACAGCTAATTTACCTTAGCAAACAAAAACACCCATAAATCAGACACTTTCACTTTACTTTGGGTTGAGAAAATAACAAACGTTTTTGTAAAAAATCAAGACAACCAAATAATTTCCAGGAGTTTCCAAAGCAACACAAACTATGGCAAATGTTTAAATTTGCTGCTTTATTTTAGGAAACAACTGTCTGAGTAATAATTCTTATGAGCTGCAGTGTGCACTCGATAATTTGAACTCCACTCTACCAACAAGAATTCCCTAAATTCCTCAGGATTGTATGATAATACATGTAAAGATGAGTTTTGAGTCAAGTTAGAGCTGATCAACCGTGTGAATGATGGTGTTTTGTGAGGTTTTATTGTGTGTGAAGATCAGTGAGAGGTTTGCTGATGTGGACTTTCATCCTGGGATTACCTAACGCTCACAGTTTCAGGGATGGAAGGAATGTGAAATGATTGGACTAAAGAAGAGGCATATTATAAGAGGGAACTCACCTGTGTTACCAAAGAAATAACAAAAAATAGGAGAGCAAAATCTCAAAAAGAAACATAAATTAAAGAACATATAAAACACAAAATATCCTGATCTTCCTGATCATCGCTTCATTAAGTTTTGTTCTGTGTAAAGTCCCTTTTACAGTTTTTTCCCACTCACATTTTTCTTTTTTCATATTGTTCTATTATAAAAGTGCAGACCTGGAGGTCAGTGTTGGAAAGAAAGGTCCAGGCACCAACACCACTCTGTTTACCCACTCCAACCATTTGAAATATCCATTATTGGCAATCCAGTTGAACAGGTGTCTAAAGTCTATTGTCTCAGAAAGAAAAAAATTGTGTAGGTCTTCTGGACGGGTTCTTCTCTAATGAAACATTTCGTCTCTCCTCCAAGAGACTTCTTCAGTCTGAGAGTTTCAGGCAAAATTCAGGCTTTTAAGCCCTGCCTCCATGTGACTGATACTCACATCACATGTCTATCGTTGACACCTAATTAACACCTATTGTTAACAGGGGGTGGAGTGATACTGGCAATAGCAGCACTGTAGGAGGGGGACAACTGAAAACGGAGGCCTCCACCTCTGTTTAATGATGGACGGTCTTTCTTCACAAAAATGGCTTCTTTTACTCCTCTCTCAAACCAACGTTCCTCTCTATCAAGAATGAGAACATCCTCATCTCTGAAAGAGTGACCGCTGGCCTGTAAATGAGTGAAAACTGCAGAGTTCTGGCCATTAGAATTAGCTCGTCTGTGTTGGGACATTCTTTTGAACAGTGGCTGCTTTGTTTCCCCGATGTATAACTGGTCACAGTCCTCCTGGCACTTAACAGCATATACAATATTGCTCTGTTTGTGCCGGGGCACCGGATCTTTGGGGTAAAGCAGCCTTTGCCGTAATGTGTTTTGGGCAATTTTCTAAACATGATGTCCCAGTGGCTTTCAAACCCCAAAACACATTGCGGCAAAGGCTGGTTCACCCCAAAGATCCGGTGCCCCGGCACAAACAGAGCAATGTTGTATATGCTGGTTAAGTGCCAGGAGGACTGCGACCAGTTATACATCGGGGAAACAAAGCAGCCACTGTTCAAAAGAATGTCCCAACACAGACGCGCTACATCTAATGGCCAGAACTCTGCAGTTTTCACTCATTTACAGGCCAGCGGTCACTCTTTCAGAGATGAGGATGTTCTCATTCTTGATAGAGAGGAACGTTGGTTTGAGAGAGGAGTAAAATAAGCCATTTTTGTGAAGAAAGACCGTCCATCATTAAACAGAGGTGGAGGCCTCCGTTTTCAGCTGTCCCCCTCCTACAGCACCGCTATTGCCAGTATCACTCCACCCCTGTTAACAATAAGTGTTAATTAGGTGTCAACAATAGCCATGTGATGTGAGTATCAGTCACATGGAGGCAGGGCTTAAAAGCCTGAATTTTGCTTGAAACTCTCAGACTGAAGAAGTCTCTTGGAGGAGAGACGAAACGTTTCATTAGAGAAGAACCCGTCCAGAAGACCTATACAATATTTTTCTTTTTGATTTTTTACCTGGATTACTGAGATGCATCAGGAGATCTATTTTCTCAGATTCGCAGCACCATAGATCCAAATGATGATTTAAATAACCAAGTTTGTTTTGCCCTCAGGTCTTTGGCAGATCTTTGGCAAGACTTTAACTTGACTATAAACTCAGTGTCAAAAAAGTTGTGTTTCTATTTGTCCTTTATGGGTTTGAGAACTGGATCTTATATTCAATAGAATATCATGTCCCTGGAGAAGTTTTATCTGTAAAAGTTGTGAACAATTGGGAATTAGACTGATGAAATGCATCATAAGCAGCCTTGTCTTAACTAGCCTAAAAAAGCACAGCGCTCATTGTCAGGAACCACATGCTCCTCCTTGGTCAATTACACCATGATCAAATTCATCTCTCCCAAAACAGACCCAGTATAGTCAGCTGACCCATGGCTCCAGGCCACTAGGTAGACCGTTAAAAGATCAACTTGAACATCTTCTAGATAAGTTCAGAATTCCAGTTGTCAAATGGGAAGCTCTGGCAACATTCTGTCCAGCACTGGTTCAGTGTGACATCACTCATTTGCATAAGTTGTCCAAAAACTGGAACCAGACCATGTTCTAGAAGAATAAATATTTCTGCTACAATCCCCCCCACCCCCAACCACCGCCTACCCTATTTCCCAATTTGCATGAGTTTTGCACTCTCACCTTGATCTCCACAATCACCAGTAAACATGTTATCAATGTTACCTTTCCAAATATGCATTCATGTTTATCTCAAAAAATTGACGTCACAGGCACTTTAAACCACGTTGTAACATTTACTATCAGTAGAAAAAACTCAACAGCTTCACTGCTGTTTTATCTATAAAACATATTTATTCTTGCAAATATTCTTAAATAGGATAAATGTAGGAATTCATCAGGAACAAAAATGCTTTTCACTAATAATCCTGATAGATCTTAGCAAAATACTAATCCATGTTTTGTTTAAAAAAAACATCACTCTATGTTAAAACTGTGTTTGCTATGAAAACAGGATTTTAGACATGTTGCTACTTGCTGGAAACTCCTACTCTCCCTTTCCCCTCTTTCTCCTCTACCACTATTTTGTTGTTTTCCCTTTTGCAACCTCTCACGCTGCCAGAAGCGAGCTAAAGAAACTTTCTGTTCCTTCTCTAATGAGCCCAAGTCCCTGCAGGGCGACCCACCTACAGAAAACTAATTGACGTAATTGGAGAATAGATTTGAGCAGCTATTAAACCACACAGAAAAAGAAAACAGACATGAAAGTAGGTCCTTGTTTGTGCAAATGCACACTTTTCTTATGCAAGAAACCTTTGTCCCACATGAGCACCTTGATAAAATTACAGGTCTGCGTGTCTCAGTGTTTTCATAACTCGGTTCTCAGGCATTAAGGTGGCTGTAGTTCAATCCGTGCAAAAAAAGTGAAACAGGACATAATGCAGATGCAGAGGAAAATGATGATTTGATTTTGAAGCATTCATCTTTGAATATAACCCTCAACATCCCTTGACAGTCACAATTATGGTTTCCTTTTTGGCTGACAGCTCACAGTAACGTCTCTGTCAAACCAAACTGATCCGTCAACACGCTGCAATCCGTCAAGTTTCCCTGAGTGAGCGCTGCTTTAATGAATGTATTTTAACTGGCAGTAGTCCAGTGCATGAAGCTGCAGGTTACTGAACCCCACTGAACTTGGATGACATTCTGGAAGAAAGTCAAGTCATTTGAATCCTACAAGTCTGTTTTTTAAAACAGTTTTGAGTTTGGAATGTTTGTCATAAAATGATTAGAATTAATATAACATGAGACAGGTTTGGAGGGGGCTGCCTGATCTGTTTCTAGTCTGGGACTTGGATAAAGTGTATTGCTGGGTTGCAGATGACGTAGTATCGACGTCATGAAATGCAGATGGGGGGCAGGAAGTAAATGCAGCCCAGTTTCCTTCTGTTCATTCAGCATCAAAATGCCTAAATTCTGTGTCGTGTACAGTTGTTGCAGCTGCTCTAATCTGGAGAAATAAAAACGTTTTTTTTTATTTCGTGTTACAAAAGTAGTGTGTCACAGGGGAGTTATCTTTTTAAAACTTACAGAAAAATGACGACAAAGGTGGATCAACATGCTACTGTTCATACATTCATTTTTGTACTGAAATTTACAGTGTATATGTATATAAATGTGCATATGTGTTTATATACTGTATATGTGTATATGTGCACTGGTATATGTACATTACTATATATCACATGTGTATATTGTGGTGTTGTTTTTGTTTTTTGTTTTTTTTGTTTGTTATCTTTTATTTATCTTTCATTATTCTTCTCAGCCTCTCTTGTATTAAGCTGCAGTAATGTGCAAATTTCCCCACTGTGAGATCAATAAAGTTTTATCTTATCTTATCTTACTGCTAAAAGCAGGAGGTGCAGAAACGAACAATACAAGAGTTTGCAGCAACCACTTTCTAACAGGTAAGAATTGGATCGTTTAAATCATATTTTCACGTTTTCCTGCATAGTTACTTGGATTTGAGTTTACAGAAGCTAAATAAATGATTTAAAAGTAGATCCAAGCAGACATAAATAACAGGGTTAACTCTGTTAGCATTAGTGATAGCATTGTTATCATAGGCTAATTACTTAAAATAGCACAACTTGTGCAACAATCATGTGAAGGACTTATGTCATGTCTATAGATTTGTAATATAATTTAATCTAAACAAAACAATCTCTTTTAGGTCATGTGTAGACACATAGTTTTAAATCCTTCTTTTTCACATTTAAATCATTCAGTTGAGGTCTAAAGGAAGTGAAACTACAATGCTTTGGTCTGAATTTTAACTTTTATCAGCTCTTCTTTATCACCTTTTCTGAGGTGTGTCTCAGATCAACTCTTTTTGAGGCTGTCTCTTTAAATCCAAACTAGGTGCTTCATGCTAGCCATGCAGAAACTCTTCATATAATTTAATTAAAAGATGTCGACAAGTGAAGACTTGTCCATCCAGCCTTACGTGTTGGACCTAGAGTCTGACCCAGACTCTCCCAAAGAGAGTGAAGATGATGAAGTCCAGATTTTATATATTTGTTCCATCACAAATAGCTTGATGTAATAACAGAAAATCATAGAAAATAGAGGAAACTGAACAGGCTTAAAAATATGACCCAAAAAGTATATAAAGATACTGTATCTTTGCAGCATCAGGAGAGAATAAATTAAACTTTTCTGCACTCCTAGAGATTCCATGTTCAGAACAAGATGTATTTAATTTTAATGGCTAAAAGAGTGGATTTTGCTGGATATGTCCCCTTTAAGGCCGTTCAATTTCTGAATGCTAAGCTAAATAGTTTAACAAGATGGAAGCTGGTTACTAAGTCTGCAAAAAAATATTTAGGCTTATTTTAGTCAAAAATAACTATTTTGTAAACAGGTAAAATAAAAAACAAAACAAAAAAAGAAACATGCAGTACAGTCAAAGACTTGTCTTTCATTAAGTCATTACTTAAAACTCTGACTTTAATTAAATTAGTTTGAATTGTTTAATTTTTGCAAATAAAGTATGAGGACTGCAAATTATGAAGAAAAGCTGAGCTAAATAATTTTAAAACCACTTCACTTTGTGTGTTAAACTGCAAAGTCCCCCTCCTTACTTTTCATCACAGTAGGTGAACTTCATGTCCATGCTGTGTCTGCTCAGGAAGGTCCTGCTGTCTAGCGGTGCGTCGATGTTGGACGGGTGTGAAATGGGTTCACACATCAAGACGGCGCAGGTGAGCGGAGGCTCCTTGTAGCCGCACAGAACCCGCGAGGTGCAGCCGTCGTACATCTTCAGGTGGCCGGTGCAGTGCAGCACCTGGAGCGTCACAGCAGGAGAACACAGAACTTACAGTTGTTAGGTGTTGCACACTGAACTCATTTTATGCACTGTTCAGTTTGTGATTTCTGCCGGCTTTGTTCTGCCTTTTATTATTGTTTTCATTTGAAACAAATTTGCCTTTGCATTAAATCTTTGGGTTTAACAAAGTGTTTTACAGTGTAGTTTTTTCATGCTTTTGTACTTGTGCAGAGCTTCTAAAAACTGCACAGGAAAAAGGCTAAAAATGAACTGGAGGGTCAACTCAGTGATGTTCTTGTCAAACTGTCCCCAGATATTTACCTTCCAGCTGGCTGACTTGAGGTTGACAGTGCGTCCTCTGTTGGTCACCGTGCACTTCATCCTCATGAAGAAGTCGCGCTCTGTGAACAGATCTTTGCCTTTTTTACGGAAGGTGCTTCCTGAAAGAACAGAGAATGATTCATACAGTGTGCAGCAATCACATCAACCATGTGAATGAAGACATAGTGGGAGTGTAGTGAGCAACATGTGCTCAAATTTCAGATGAAGATTGACCTAAAGCTAAAGTACAGATGGTAGCTTTACAATTCCAGGACCTCTTCCTTTATATAACTTAAATTAGAAACATCTTTTCTGAAAAAGATGAAAGAAAAATAAAACTGTCTTCGGCTAACTTTAAAGGTTGCTACCAGCATTCTGATGAGAGTTAGGGGAGATTTTTTTCTCCAAATTCAGCTTCTCTCCATTGGCTCCTTGTCAAATTCAGATTTTTACTTCTAACATACAAAGCTCTCAACAACCAAGAGCTTATATTATCTTATATTAAAGATCTTATTGTTCCATATTTTCCTAACAGAGCACTTCGCTCTCAGACTGCAGCTTAGATTGTGGTTACTGGATTTTGTAAAAGTAGAGCTTTCAGGTATTCTTTTTTTTTTGTGATTTTCTCTCCAAATTTCTTCTGTAAATTGGTTTTATGATAAGGATTTTTTTAAATTAATAATTCATTAATTAACTTGTTTTGTATAGTGTTTACTGAATAATGCTAATTTACAGAATTACATTTTTATTGCATAGGGGAAAAAAAGCCCAACCCAGAGGTGCCCTAAGTGGGGCCTGCAGGCCAAAATTGGCCCACTAAGCCATTTGATTTGGCCCACCAGTAGTTGCCCTGCAGGTTATCTCCTGTTGTTATATTTGAGCACACACAAATCTAAGACCACACATACTCAGATTTTATCAACTTATGAAATGTCCCATGAGTCTTTGCTGCAACAACAATCTCGAAGTGCACGGGCAAAAAGAACAAACAAAACATGAGCCACTGCACTGGCTCCTAGCTTAATCATAAAAAATAAAAAAATGACTTTGCTTAAGAAGTATTTGCATTTCATGTATTATATTATTACCTTTGGCCCGCAGCTCTTGGATAGATTTTCATTTTGGCCTCTTGTGGAAAAAATGTGGGCACCCCTGCTCTAAGGCATTTTATCACACAACTGTCCTAAACATGGAGCAAAACACATCCAGCTGTTTTGTGACAAAATCAAATCAAAGTTGTCATTCTGTGGCATTCTCTGTGGGACTGGGTAAGCTGTTAAAGAAATCATGAAAAGAGTTTGAGCTCTTTCATCACAAAGTCAGAGTTCAGTCTGCAGCCACAGTGCACTAAGGTGAAGAGGGTGATCAGTCAAGCAATTAGGATAATAACAAAATCATCCTTTTTTAAAAGGACAACAATACAAAGGTTTGGATGTTTGCAGTTTGGATCAACTTCTGTGTAAATTTCGGCTGTAGATAAATTTCTTGTTTTTTTTTTCTCAAATAATGCTCCGTTTGTCTCCATCAGCCACTTTCCTCATTCTCATGAAAGCGGTGCTTACACCATTTCCTTCCCTTCCATACACACATTTATCGCTGTAATTTCCTATCTGCAGCAAATGATCTCTGACCTTCTGTCCTTATTGTTGTTCTGGATGCTTCTCCATTAACATAAACAGTGTTATATAACATGCTACACTAAAGGACACTATTTTAGGACAGTAATGGGGAGTTAGGGAGGCCCTGCTTTGCTTGTGAGTTCAGTTTGCTAAAAACAGCACAACTCACTCCAGCTTAAAAGCTTGGAACTCTACACTTCAGTTTTCAAAGCTCCTCTGCTCCGATGATATGATCAAAACCAAAAGCCTTAACAGAGTTGTAGGACTTTTGTCATTGCTGGTTCATATTTTATTTACACTGCCTGGCCAAAACATCTGTCGCCACCTGGATTTAAGCAAAACGGTACGAGCCTCCTATTGGATGATTACTGCATGGGCAATGAGTTGCTTCTCATTTCTTAAACAACCATGTGGAAAGACACATCCTGTGGTCATGGAAAAGATATCAGTCTGTTTGAAAAGGGTCAAATCACTGGCAGAGTGGTTAGGGGAGTCGTCCTGGAACCAGAAGGTCGCGGTTCGATCCCCCGTCCAGTCGTTTCAGTCGTTGTGTCCTTGGGCAAGACACTTCACCCGCCTTGCCTACTGATGGTGGTCAGAGGGTCCAGTGGCACCGGTGTATGGCAGCCTTGCTTCTGTCAGTGTGCCCCAGGGCAGCTGTGGCTACAATGTAGCTTACCATCATCAGTGTGTGAATGGGTGAATGTCTAAGTGTAAAGCACTTTGGGGTTCAGAGGGACTTGATAAAGCGCTCTATAGGTTCAGTCCTTTTACCAAAGATTAGACACTGGAGCACTGGAAGAAGTCATGTAGTCTGATGAGTCCAGATTGACCCTGTTCCAGACTGATGGGTGCATCAGGGTAAGAAAAGAGGCAGGTGAAGTGATGCTCCCATCATAGTCTTTACTGTGCATACCTGTGGGGTCAGGTCTATGATGTGGAGTTGCTGCAGGTGGTCAGGTCTAGGTTCAGCAACAGTTTGTGCTCAAAGAATGAGGTCAGTTGATACCTGAATATACTGAATGAGCAGGTTATTCCATCAATGGATTGTTTCTGCCCCGATAGCACAAGCATATTCCAAGATGACAATGTCAGGATTCATGGGGCTCTTATTGTGAAAGAGTGGTTCAGAGAGCATATCATTTTCACACATGGGTTGGCTCCACAGAGTCCACTGAGAGTCTTTGGGATGTGCTGGAGAAGGTCAGACTCTACCATCATCAATGTGAGATCTTGGTGAAAAATGAATGCAACACTGGATGGAAATAAATCTTGTGACATTGAAGAAGCTTATCCAAACAATGCCACAGAGAATGTGTGCCAACAAAATATCAAAGTGTGCCTTTTTGTTTTGGTGGCAACTTCTTTTTTGGCCAGGTGGAGTAATTATGACCCCCACACGCAAAGCGGGGGTCATGCTGTTTTCGTACTGTTTATTTATTTATTTATTTTACATTTTTTAAATTTATTTTTTTTGTTCAGAGATTTTTGGTCAACCGTAGCACAAAAACRGCTGCACCGATCAACATGAAATTTCGCAGGGCTGTAGATAAGTCTGGCCTGCACTGCGCCAGCCAACGGTTTTAAGATAGACCACATATAATAAAACATTTAATAACAATTCACAAATCTCAGTAAATGGATTTCTTGTTTCTGATCATGAAAAAATTGSTAACTTATTTAATGAATATTTTATTTCTTCAGTAAGGACATCATTACCAGGACAAGCTAATAGTTTAAAGTTATTTAAATATCCTGACACTTCAAAGCAATTTTCATTTTCTGAAATTTCACAGAGTGATGTTTTGAATACACTCCAATCTCTAAATGGCTCACATGCAAACTATCGGCCAATTTCTGTTCTTCCTATTTTTTC